CATTTTCTTAATCCTCTCTCGATAAGACATGCCAGTTATATCAAAGACACGTATGATTTCGTGAACAGAATTAAACAAATTAACATCCCCCTGAATGCCTTCCTCTTCACCATGGACATTGACAGCCTATACACAAACATTGTAATCCCAGAAGGCATTCAAGCAGTAAAAAATATATTCCAAAAATACCCAGACGCCAAAAGACCCGACAGAGAATTATTGCAACTTTTAGAGATCAATTTGACCAGAAACGACTTTGAATTCAATGGACAATTTTTCCTCCAAATTAAGGGCACAGCCATGGGAAAGAAATTTGCGCCCGCATATGCCAACATTTTCATGGCAGAGTGGGAGGCGGCTGCTTTAAATTCCTGCCCCAAAAAACCCCTCTACTACTACAGGTTTCTGGATGACATATGGGGGGTCTGGCCCTTTTCAAGAGAGGATTTCGACCAATTTGTACATAATTTGAATCACCACAACCCTGCTATCAAGCTCAAATATTGCATCAGTGCCACTACGGTGGATTTTTTGGACACCACTACCTTCAAGGGTCCCACATTCACCCAGACTGCTAGACTTGACCTCAAGGTGTTTTTTAAGGAAACTGACACACATGCTCTTCTGCATAAGTCCAGCTTTCATCCAAAACACACTTTTGCAGGCTTAATCAAGTCTCAGCTGCTGAGGTTTCACAGAATTTGCACTAGACCAGAGAATTTTAAAGAGGCGACGAAGGTGCTGTTCTCCGCTCTGGCCAACAGAGGGTACTGCAGGGCCTTTTTACGGAGAGCTTTCAAAACCTTCCTTCACACAAAACCTCTCAGCACAGATTCCCTACTCCCAGTCATAACCACCTATTCTCCCTCAGCAGTAAAATTTGTTAAGACACTTAAACACAATTTCCAAAATTTAATTTCCACAACTCAGCTGTTACAGGACCACAGACTCATAGCTGCATACAGAAAGAACAAAAATCTGCAGGACACTCTGGTGAAGGCCAAATTGGCACCACGTGTTGACTCTAGACCCCTGGGTCACGGAGAATTTTTTAGGCACCGTCCTTGGGTGCTGAACCCACACAACCACAATGTTTTCCCCACACACAGGCATGGCACTGCTCACTCCAAAAATTGTGTTTATTTAATCAGATGCAGACAGTGTAACATACAGTATGTGGGGGAGACGGGGAACACCCTTTTGACCAGATTCACACAACACAGATATAACATTGGGAGGAAGAAAGACACACACATCCCACTGGTCAAACATTTTATTGAGCATGGCTGGTCCCAGCTCACTGCACTGATCCTGCAGTGTAACCCCAGATGGTCCACAGCTCAGAGACGGCGGGAGGAGAGGCTCTGGATTCACCGTCTGGGCACTTTGATTCCAGGAGGCCTCAATGAGAAGTGAGGGCTAGGAGCCAGCTGGCAGTGGATGGCCTGTGCATTCAATGTCGCCGCCTTCGGCGTCGACATTTCAATTTTTTCTTCCCTAACCGGCCCGCGCCCCGCTGTCTGCTGCTCTGATGCCCTCCTCTCAACGGGGCTCTCCGCCACAATTTTTATACCTGTCCTCCCGACAGGGCTCTTCCAATGTTTTCCACTCGTACTCACAGCAGGGGTATGTTTTTGTATATATGTGTATATGTGTTTAATGTGCATCACATCGGGACACATCAAATTCCCTGTTCTTCCATGGTGTCCTCTGGCTGTTTTGATGTATGGTTCTTTTATACAGTAATTTTGGCACAGCTCTTCAGCCACTGCTTCCTCAGCCTTCTTGGTTAGCCCATGTTTATTTTGTATACACTGCAATTTTCAAAGGCAAATGTTCCACTTTTCATACTCCTTTGTTCTCTGGGCTCTCATGCTGAAGGTGATTGCAGCCTCTTTTATTTTATGGTGTCATTACAAGGATGTAGGGTGTCACTCACCTTGTGACCACTGCACTGTGCCTTCATTAGTATCTTTATAATTTTTGGATTAATTTTCTTTATATCAGCAGAGTAATTAGTGATGGTGTGTGTGAGTGTCTGACGTGGTCTGACAGTGGGAGATGGGATGAACAATTTTATACAGCCTTACCAGGTTAATTGAGCCCTAACCTTAACCACTTGACCCTCTGACCTAAACCTAACCAATCAGGACACTGCAACTATTGTAACTGATACACACTGAAGTGTTAATTTCCACCTGATTTAGCACTACAGTTACTTTAGGTTAAATAACTACAAAAATGGCCACCCACTAGATGACGTCACTGGAGGACTTCTCACCTCCCAGGAAGTGGGAAGGGTCAAGGGTAACATAATTTGGTGACTTCCTGTCCCGCTCTCAGACCTTGTTTTCGCTCGTCTTTGGACTACAGAACTCAACGCACAGTAAGAATTTTATGCCTGAAGAAGGTCTTTTTAAAGACCGAAACGTTGCATTATTGCAAGATTATTATTATATATATTTTTATTATTATAATAATAAAACCTTGCCAACGAACCATCACGACTCGCTTTTTTTACTTTTTCACTGTTTAGCTTAGTTTTGAAGTGCTAGCTAGCTGTCTTCCCGACACTGCCACACACTGAAAAACCTGCTGAACACCGCAAACATGACGCACCGAGGAGAGGAGGACTGGACGCGGGTCCACTACCGACGCGGACGGATGCAGCAGCGGGGCCGCTCGCCACCTTCGCGGGTAAGAGAGAGCCCGTATTCCCGCCGCTACCACGAGCCGCGGCAGCCTCCCCGCTCCTACGCAGCGGCCGTCAGGGCCCCGCCAGCTACGCGGACCTACCGCCGCGAGCCCCCGCGCCGAGAGGACCATCGCGGACCGCCAGTCCATCACCGCCGCGGACCTCCGCCGGTCCGAACCAGGACCGACTTCTCCAGACGCAGCAACAGGTACGAGGGGTTCAATAGAGCGACCCGAGGGCAACGCGGCACAGGCGACCCTCCGCCGTCTGACCCAGACTTTACCTTAAGAACCAGAGTGGTTTACAGACTGATCAAAGCTAAACACCACCTTAGCAATGTCATGGCACCAGAACCACCCAACTCCATCACTAAGATGACCCACAATCTGGCCACGGTTATCAAACCGGCGGCTCCAAACGCCACGACCCTGTCACTCATTGACGGTAACGCCAGAAACTGGGCCTACAACACACTGCTGATACTCAGGGACCACTACAGGGACTGCATTCAGACGGACCTGCAGATACTGGTAGAGTTAGAAGTGACTGACTGGCGAGAGAACTTTGAGGTGGCCTCGGCCTGGGCCAGACGCCATTTTGGGCGCAGACTGCACCAAGATACGCTGGATGACACACAGGTGCTCCTGATCCAGCGCCTCTCCAGAGCCCCACCGGCTCACGCCGAGCCTGGCCCGCCAGCCCACCCTCCCGCAGCAGCACACTCAGCAGTAGTGGACCCGACCTTAACGGTGGCCAGCACCACACAGACAGACAACGCACAGCCCCACACACACACACAGACTCAGACGGCGACAGCTCTGCCCCCCGGGCCGGTTGGCGTTCAACCTGGGACTGCTCAGACTCTACGGCCACCGGTGGACCCACCTTCTACGCCGGCGGCTCCGCCGCCCACACCAGCAGCTCCAGAACCTGCACAACCACCTGCCGCCACCCAGCCTCCACACCGGCCGCCTGCAGCGCAGCGGAACCCACCGCCAGCTCGTCAGCTCAGCGTGACAGCGGAGGTACACGCCCCACCTGCAGTGGACCTCCTCCTGCCAGACATCTCAACACCGGCCGGACCGTGTCTGCTCTCCAAGGCCACGATGACGGAGCAGAGGACGGACGGGCCCACGGATCCTCAGTCTCCTCCTTTCCTCCCTTCTCTCCCTCCTGACTTTCTCTCCTCTCCTCTCACCTGTCTGTCTGCACCTGTCCTCCCTCCCTCTCTCTCTCCTTCCTCTGGGATCGTCCCTGACACACAGCCGGAGCCCAAGGAGCAGAGACCTAAGCGCACCGCGAGGCGCCGGAGCGTGGCCCCCAGCTCACCTCAGCCTCCAGCTCCTCCTGAGGACCCCAGCACCACGGCCACGGCTGACGAGGCAATCATGGTGGAGGCATCTCCGCAGGTAGCACCGCTGCCTCCTGTCCCAAAAACGGCTTTGGGGCCTGTTCAGAGACAGCTGAGCTTTGGCCCACCTGCAGCTGCTGCTGCAATAGCAGCAAACACACCGGTACGTCGCCCCACACGACACATTAACACCAGCAGAAAAATGAAGGAGTGGTGCCTGTCAGCCAGGAGCAAGTGGCTGATCATTGGGGATTCAAATGTCGCCAGGTTTCCCCCTTTCCAGTGCCCTGACCTACAAATAGACAGCTTCCCTGGGGCCACGTTCAGGCACGCAGAAGCCATTTTGGCGAGGACCAACGTGTCTGCAAACATTGAAAAACTGGTGCTCTCTTTTGGGGTAAACAACAGGGCACAAAAAACAATGACCACTGTTAAACAGGTACAGAGAGCAATCAGGATGGCGAAGCTGGCTTTTCCCCAGGCCACAGTCATGGTGCCGGAGATTAATTTCTCCAGACACCTACCTCACGCAGAGCAGGAGAACCTCAGACAGCTTAATCAGTACATTACTAACAATCAGCTGTTTCTCCCTGCTCTCTCAAGGAACGACTTCACCACCGAGAGGGACGGCATCCACTGGTCTCACTCCACGGCCCAGCACATGCTGGACCACTGGCTGGAGTCGTTAAAGTAGCTACCCCCGTGAACACACGTCCTCAGACGGGGGGTAAAAATGTAATTAATTTGTGTAAATGTTTTATTTTGTCTGCAGCCCAGTTTGCTCTACTTAGCAGGGGACTGAACTTCATCCCAACGACCAGCAGCGACCCAAATCTCAAAAAACAAATCCGATTTGACCTACAACAGTACCACAGACGACTGAAATTGGCAACCTACTTTGAGCACAGGCCTGACACACAACGACCACTCTTCACCCCAAGTCCCAGTGGGTCCCCCCTAAAGGTAAACTACCCCCAGACATTGACGCACTTATCCAGACAGACTTGCACTACTTCCAAGACCAATTCAGATTCGGCTGGGTTAAACAAAATTTGAACAAATATGAATTTGAGGCACTAGAACAATTAAGACGGAATAAGGACATTGTGATTAAACCAGCAGACAAGGGCAGCGCAGTAATTATTATGGACAGGGAACAGTACCTATGGGAGGGCTACAGACAGCTACATGACACGACCTACTACTCCAAACTAAAGAAGCCCATCTACAAGGACACCACTCCACTGACGGACAAGATTATACAATCACTCCAAGACAAGAAATTCATCAACCACAAACAGACTCTATACCTGAAGGGGGACAGCGAACCTCGACCCAGACTGTTTTACATGCTGCCTAAAATACACAAGGACCCTGCTAAGTGGAGCAAACCTCATGAGATCCCTCCAGGACGTCCCATTGTGTCCGATTGCAGCAGTGAGACGTATTATACAGCTGAGTTTATTGACCATTTTCTTAATCCTCTCTCGATAAGACATGCCAGTTATATCAAAGACACGTATGATTTCGTGAACAGAATTAAACAAATTAACATCCCCCTGAATGCCTTCCTCTTCACCATGGACATTGACAGCCTATACACAAACATTGTAATCCCAGAAGGCATTCAAGCAGTAAAAAATATATTCCAAAAATACCCAGACGCCAAAAGACCCGACAGAGAATTATTGCAACTTTTAGAGATCAATTTGACCAGAAACGACTTTGAATTCAATGGACAATTTTTCCTCCAAATTAAGGGCACAGCCATGGGAAAGAAATTTGCGCCCGCATATGCCAACATTTTCATGGCAGAGTGGGAGGCGGCTGCTTTAAATTCCTGCCCCAAAAAACCCCTCTACTACTACAGGTTTCTGGATGACATATGGGGGGTCTGGCCCTTTTCAAGAGAGGATTTCGACCAATTTGTACATAATTTGAATCACCACAACCCTGCTATCAAGCTCAAATATTGCATCAGTGCCACTACGGTGGATTTTTTGGACACCACTACCTTCAAGGGTCCCACATTCACCCAGACTGCTAGACTTGACCTCAAGGTGTTTTTTAAGGAAACTGACACACATGCTCTTCTGCATAAGTCCAGCTTTCATCCAAAACACACTTTTGCAGGCTTAATCAAGTCTCAGCTGCTGAGGTTTCACAGAATTTGCACTAGACCAGAGAATTTTAAAGAGGCGACGAAGGTGCTGTTCTCCGCTCTGGCCAACAGAGGGTACTGCAGGGCCTTTTTACGGAGAGCTTTCAAAACCTTCCTTCACACAAAACCTCTCAGCACAGATTCCCTACTCCCAGTCATAACCACCTATTCTCCCTCAGCAGTAAAATTTGTTAAGACACTTAAACACAATTTCCAAAATTTAATTTCCACAACTCAGCTGTTACAGGACCACAGACTCATAGCTGCATACAGAAAGAACAAAAATCTGCAGGACACTCTGGTGAAGGCCAAATTGGCACCACGTGTTGACTCTAGACCCCTGGGTCACGGAGAATTTTTTAGGCACCGTCCTTGGGTGCTGAACCCACACAACCACAATGTTTTCCCCACACACAGGCATGGCACTGCTCACTCCAAAAATTGTGTTTATTTAATCAGATGCAGACAGTGTAACATACAGTATGTGGGGGAGACGGGGAACACCCTTTTGACCAGATTCACACAACACAGATATAACATTGGGAGGAAGAAAGACACACACATCCCACTGGTCAAACATTTTATTGAGCATGGCTGGTCCCAGCTCACTGCACTGATCCTGCAGTGTAACCCCAGATGGTCCACAGCTCAGAGACGGCGGGAGGAGAGGCTCTGGATTCACCGTCTGGGCACTTTGATTCCAGGAGGCCTCAATGAGAAGTGAGGGCTAGGAGCCAGCTGGCAGTGGATGGCCTGTGCATTCAATGTCGCCGCCTTCGGCGTCGACATTTCAATTTTTTCTTCCCTAACCGGCCCGCGCCCCGCTGTCTGCTGCTCTGATGCCCTCCTCTCAACGGGGCTCTCCGCCACAATTTTTATACCTGTCCTCCCGACAGGGCTCTTCCAATGTTTTCCACTCGTACTCACAGCAGGGGTATGTTTTTGTATATATGTGTATATGTGTTTAATGTGCATCACATCGGGACACATCAAATTCCCTGTTCTTCCATGGTGTCCTCTGGCTGTTTTGATGTATGGTTCTTTTATACAGTAATTTTGGCACAGCTCTTCAGCCACTGCTTCCTCAGCCTTCTTGGTTAGCCCATGTTTATTTTGTATACACTGCAATTTTCAAAGGCAAATGTTCCACTTTTCATACTCCTTTGTTCTCTGGGCTCTCATGCTGAAGGTGATTGCAGCCTCTTTTATTTTATGGTGTCATTACAAGGATGTAGGGTGTCACTCACCTTGTGACCACTGCACTGTGCCTTCATTAGTATCTTTATAATTTTTGGATTAATTTTCTTTATATCAGCAGAGTAATTAGTGATGGTGTGTGTGAGTGTCTGACGTGGTCTGACAGTGGGAGATGGGATGAACAATTTTATACAGCCTTACCAGGTTAATTGAGCCCTAACCTTAACCACTTGACCCTCTGACCTAAACCTAACCAATCAGGACACTGCAACTATTGTAACTGATACACACTGAAGTGTTAATTTCCACCTGATTTAGCACTACAGTTACTTTAGGTTAAATAACTACAAAAATGGCCACCCACTAGATGACGTCACTGGAGGACTTCTCACCTCCCAGGAAGTGGGAAGGGTCAAGGGTAACATAATTTGGTGACTTCCTGTCCCGCTCTCAGACCTTGTTTTCGCTCGTCTTTGGACTACAGAACTCAACGCACAGTAAGAATTTTATGCCTGAAGAAGGTCTTTTTAAAGACCGAAACGTTGCATTATTGCAAGATTATTATTATATATTTTTTTATTATTATAATAAAACCTTGCCAACGAACCATCACGACTCGCTTTTTTTACTTTTTCACTGTTTAGCTTAGTTTTGAAGTGCTAGCTAGCTGTCTTCCCGACACTGCCACACACTGAAAAACCTGCTGAACACCGCAAACATGACGCACCGAGGAGAGGAGGACTGGACGCGGGTCCACTACCGACGCGGACGGATGCAGCAGCGGGGCCGCTCGCCACCTTCGCGGGTAAGAGAGAGCCCGTATTCCCGCCGCTACCACGAGCCGCGGCAGCCTCCCCGCTCCTACGCAGCGGCCGTCAGGGCCCCGCCAGCTACGCGGACCTACCGCCGCGAGCCCCCGCGCCGAGAGGACCATCGCGGACCGCCAGTCCATCACCGCCGCGGACCTCCGCCGGTCCGAACCAGGACCGACTTCTCCAGACGCAGCAACAGGTACGAGGGGTTCAATAGAGCGACCCGAGGGCAACGCGGCACAGGCGACCCTCCGCCGTCTGACCCAGACTTTACCTTAAGAACCAGAGTGGTTTACAGACTGATCAAAGCTAAACACCACCTTAGCAATGTCATGGCACCAGAACCACCCAACTCCATCACTAAGATGACCCACAATCTGGCCACGGTTATCAAACCGGCGGCTCCAAACGCCACGACCCTGTCACTCATTGACGGTAACGCCAGAAACTGGGCCTACAACACACTGCTGATACTCAGGGACCACTACAGGGACTGCATTCAGACGGACCTGCAGATACTGGTAGAGTTAGAAGTGACTGACTGGCGAGAGAACTTTGAGGTGGCCTCGGCCTGGGCCAGACGCCATTTTGGGCGCAGACTGCACCAAGATACGCTGGATGACACACAGGTGCTCCTGATCCAGCGCCTCTCCAGAGCCCCACCGGCTCACGCCGAGCCTGGCCCGCCAGCCCACCCTCCCGCAGCAGCACACTCAGCAGTAGTGGACCCGACCTTAACGGTGGCCAGCACCACACAGACAGACAACGCACAGCCCCACACACACACAGACTCAGACGGCGACAGCTCTGCCCCCCGGGCCGGTTGGCGTTCAACCTGGGACTGCTCAGACTCTACGGCCACCGGTGGACCCACCTTCTACGCCGGCGGCTCCGCCGCCCACACCAGCAGCTCCAGAACCTGCACAACCACCTGCCGCCACCCAGCCTCCACACCGGCCGCCTGCAGCGCAGCGGAACCCACCGCCAGCTCGTCAGCTCAGCGTGACAGCGGAGGTACACGCCCCACCTGCAGTGGACCTCCTCCTGCCAGACATCTCAACACCGGCTGGACTGTGTTTCCTCTCCAAGGCCACGATGACGGAGCAGAGGACGGACGGGCCCACGGATCCTCAGTCTCCTCCTTTCCTCCCTTCTCTCCCTCCTGACTTTCTCTCCTCTCCTCTCACCTGTCTGTCTGCACCTGTCCTCCCTCCCTCTCTCTCTCCTTCCTCTGGGATCGTCCCTGACACACAGCCGGAGCCCAAGGAGCAGAGACCTAAGCGCACCGCGAGGCGCCGGAGCGTGGCCCCCAGCTCACCTCAGCCTCCAGCTCCTCCTGAGGACCCCAGCACCACGGCCACGGCTGACGAGGCAATCATGGTGGAGGCATCTCCGCAGGTAGCACCGCTGCCTCCTGTCCCAAAAACGGCTTTGGGGCCTGTTCAGAGACAGCTGAGCTTTGGCCCACCTGCAGCTGCTGCTGCAATAGCAGCAAACACACCGGTACGTCGCCCCACACGACACATTAACACCAGCAGAAAAATGAAGGAGTGGTGCCTGTCAGCCAGGAGCAAGTGGCTGATCATTGGGGATTCAAATGTCGCCAGGTTTCCCCCTTTCCAGTGCCCTGACCTACAAATAGACAGCTTCCCTGGGGCCACGTTCAGGCACGCAGAAGCCATTTTGGCGAGGACCAACGTGTCTGCAAACATTGAAAAACTGGTGCTCTCTTTTGGGGTAAACAACAGGGCACAAAAAACAATGACCACTGTTAAACAGGTACAGAGAGCAATCAGGATGGCGAAGCTGGCTTTTCCCCAGGCCACAGTCATGGTGCCGGAGATTAATTTCTCCAGACACCTACCTCACGCAGAGCAGGAGAACCTCAGACAGCTTAATCAGTACATTACTAACAATCAGCTGTTTCTCCCTGCTCTCTCAAGGAACGACTTCACCACCGAGAGGGACGGCATCCACTGGTCTCACTCCACGGCCCAGCACATGCTGGACCACTGGCTGGAGTCGTTAAAGTAGCTACCCCCGTGAACACACGTCCTCAGACGGGGGGTAAAAATGTAATTAATTTGTGTAAATGTTTTATTTTGTCTGCAGCCCAGTTTGCTCTACTTAGCAGGGGACTGAACTTCATCCCAACGACCAGCAGCGACCCAAATCTCAAAAAACAAATCCGATTTGACCTACAACAGTACCACAGACGACTGAAATTGGCAACCTACTTTGAGCACAGGCCTGACACACAACGACCACTCTTCACCCCCAAGTCCCAGTGGGTCCCCCCTAAAGGTAAACTACCCCCAGACATTGACGCACTTATCCAGACAGACTTGCACTACTTCCAAGACCAATTCAGATTCGGCTGGGTTAAACAAAATTTGAACAAATATGAATTTGAGGCACTAGAACAATTAAGACGGAATAAGGACATTGTGATTAAACCAGCAGACAAGGGCAGCGCAGTAATTATTATGGACAGGGAACAGTACC